TACCAGCTCCTTCCACTTGACCGCATCCAGCGCAGAGCGGCTCGAATCGTCGACGACCGAGTGCTTTCCGATCGGCTCGATTTACTGGCACTGCGAAGAGATGTTGCATCTCTTTGCATTTTCTTTCGCATATACCATGGAGAGTGCTCTGAGGAATTGTTCGGATTAATCCCAGCTGCCAAATTTCGTGAACGCACTACGCGGCAAACGTTCCGATACCATCCACACCATCTGGATGCTTGGCGGTCCACCACTGTACGTTTCAATAGGAGTTTTCTTCCGCGTACAACCTCTCTGTGGAATAGTTTACCACCAGCGATTTTAGCGTAGACAGAGGCCGCTTCCCCCAGGTAAGTTGCCCCTCCTCATTTATGAGTTTCATTTGTTGTGCCTTTATCGGCAGCAGATCATTTCCCGTCATGTCAGCCAACACCGTGTGTGTGTGTGTGCGTGTGTGTGTGTGTGCGTGTGTGTGTGTGTGTGTGTGTGTGTGTGTGTGTGTGTGTGTGTGTGTGTGTGTGTGTGTTGTGCGTGATTGCTCAGTTTATAATATATGGGGAGGTTTTTAAGGGTTATACTATAATGTTAAAAAAGTCTCTTAAGTTTATGTATTTACAGTAGGTATGTTTCAAATTTTCTGCAGCGATTTGCCGCTTCAGCAATGCTGATTTATATTTAGCTTTGAAGCTTTCCGTAATCATTTTATTTCTCAGATGGGGAGCAAGTCGGGAAAAAAAAAATTCCATATCCTTGCTGCAACAAATTTGAAACATCCTCTGTACCGCGTTGTTTTATGTTTTGGCATACTTAACAGGTTTAATGAGTTCGTACGAAGGTTTCTATGTGAAAAGGCTTTTTGTTCCATATTACTCTATGCACTGTACAAGCGTACTGAAGCTCCCTTCTAGCACTCACGTTAAGTAAGCACTTTTTATTGAACTATGGGGTAATAGATTCTCTTTTGGGCACATTAAAGCAAAAACGAACACAGGCATTTTGCACTCTTTCTATTGCCCTCTCCGTGTTAAACTTTAGTCTTGGACCAAAGGTGGAACTGCAGTAATTAAATTGAGATAGTACCAGAGTTTCACACAAAAGTATCCGTAAATCCTCCTTAAGATACGGTCCGATTTGGTAGAGCGTTTTCAGCTTGAAAAATGCTGTCCTGATTTTGTTATTAACGTGATCAATAAATTTTTGTTCACCATCTAAAATCAGGCCGATATTACGAGCAGAGGTTACTTGTTCCAGAACAACATTATTTATTTTAATTTTTTCTCCAACGTCTAATACATTTTTTATTTGGCGTTTAGTGCCTTATACCAACATTTGAGATTTAGCTGCATTGAGAACCAAAGAGTTATTTTCAGACCATGTGTGTATATTTCTCAGGTCATCATTAACTTTCTCAATAGCTTCTCGAGCGTCTTTACTGTGAAACGAGTAGTACAGTTGTGTATCATCAGCATATGTGATATTTACAAAACTTTATATGCCTAGGTAGATCTGCTGTAAAAATTGTAAATAGGACTGGACTAAGTAGAAAGCCTTGAGGCACGCCGCGCTGAACTGACCTGAGACACGACCGTCTTTTTTCTCCGTATTTATCATCAGTTACTACCATTTGTCCTCTATTAGCGAGGAAACTGTGAAACCAAAGACATGTATTCTTTGAGAATCCATAGCAACTTAGCTTATCTATAAGTAGTTCAGTTTACAAACAATCAAATGCTCGAGAATAATCAAGTAATACCATTATACTACTCATCCCCATATCCGAAGCCTCGGTCAGGTCGTCTGTGACATGTAAAAGTGCAGTTTCTGTACCATGACCCCTGCGAAAGCCCGACCGAAATTTAGGTATTATATCTTTGGTTTCTAAGTAGTTCAGCCCTTGATTTAACACTACTTTTTCTAAAACTTTAGACAGTACTGGAAAAATCGAAATAGGACGCAAGTCTTTTATTTCGGTAGGAGAATTTTTTTAGGTATGGGCCTTACAAGTGCTCTTTTCCAACATGATGGAAAAGTATTTGTTTCAATTGACTTATTCAGTATTCTCGTAATAATAGGAGTCACATCTAGAGTCAGCTTAATCATCCCTATACTAATGCCATCGTGTCCCTCTGTATTGGTCTTTATATTATCAATAATAACTTTTACTTTCTGTACTGTTATAGATTTTAGGACCAGCATGTCATGTTCTAATGTATCAATTACACTAGTGAAGGTTTTTTTGAACAACTGTTTCGTTACTGACTGGTAAATTCAAAAAGTGGTCGTTGATTTTAATGGGGTCATTAACATGTTCAGGAATTATGGATTTGTGCATGTAATCAAACTGGGTACTGCTTTTTATGTTTTTCCAAAGTAGAGCCTGATTTTTCATATTATTATTTACAAAATTATTATAGTAGGCTTTTCGTTCTCTTTCAATTGTTGCAGTAACAAAATTTCTTAAATTTCGATAATAATCTTTCGAGCTGTCTTTTTGTTTTTCTGCGCTTTCTTTAGAGATTTATAGCGAAGTTTCATCATAAATTTAACCATGTTTGTAATCCATGGTTTAGGCTTATCTTTGAGAACAACCTTACGAGTTGGTGCATATATGTCAAATAATTTTATTATATACATGTTAAAAGTTTTAACCATTTCATCTACATTATGTAGAGTATATATGGATTCCCAGGGGATAAGTTTTAAGTCCTCTATAAACTTATCTTGATTTATATAATATAATGGTCGTTGAAATCTTACTTCTTTATTTAATTTGGGTTTTTTGATATCTAAATCTACAATTACTAATGCATGGTCACTTAAACAGTGGTTATGTATCACGTCAATATTTTTGCATTTTAAAGGGCTGTCAGTCATAACGAGTTCTATTATTGTTTGCGAATGGTCTGTGATTCTAGTCGGTTCCTTTACGAGTTTTCTTTTTTTGCAATCTTTACCGGCGGGTGTGAGTATAGATAGCGACAGTGTGCGAGCGATAAGTGAATAGAAGCGACGCCATTTTCAATCCCATTCCTTAACCGCACGGGTAGTAAGATTAATTCTTTTATACGTATGTTACAGAGCCTAAAGAGCTGGACGGATTTTGAATTTTTTTGTGTTTGAATGGTTTAGATTCACAATTGTACCCGAGAGGCGGCGTTGTCGTTAAGATCCAGAAATCACCTGTGCGAAGCCGGGATTGGATTGTTAGCATCAAATAAATGTCCGTGGCCTTGGAGTGGCTCATACTACTAATATTTCTTGATAGGTGCTTTCGTATTTTTGACACAGTGTCTGTGAATTCCTTCTGCATCCGCTGGTGAGTGAAGTCACTGCATTACAAGTTAATTATATTTAATATGTATGTAGGAATGATAGTTTTGAAAAGGTATGTGGAAGTGAAAGATCGACACGGATATATGATGAACGAAGGAAACGTATGGCGATTTAGCCGAAGATATATGACGAAGACCTGTATAGTTGCATTGTAATGTTTAAAATGAATTAAGTAATAATTTTTACAAGCAATCCGTTTCCGCTAATTCCGAAAACCATTTTTTTATTTATCATATATTATTGGGTGACAAACGAGCACACCGTCCACCTGATAGTAAGTGGATGCTATGGCCCATAGACATCCACATTTATCCGCAATTAAGAATCAAAATGCAAATGCGTTGTCATCCCTGAGGACCAAGATGGAATGCCTCGATTCCAGTTAAAAGTGTCTTCGGTTATCTACACTCACCATCCGAAACACAGCAGGATTACGTTGCTATTTTACGTTGGTCTTCTGTGAGAGCGTGGCCCTGCACCGGTCGAGCCGACCCATTTGTGCTACAACTATAATATAGCTGCAGCGTGGCTCTACCACGTAAACAATAATAATATAAAATATTCACATATATAAGTAAATTAAACATAAAGAGGGGCAAATTTTTCCTACCTTGCGAGAGCTTTATGTCCAGCAATGGTCTTACAGCTGTATTAAAATATATTTAAATCATTTAATAAAACAAATGTATACAAAACTGATATTTATTTCTTTATAATATTATACTGTAACAATACATTATGATCACAAATGTAACTTAATAAAACTAAACTATTATTAAGCACATGAAAAAAGTTTGTATTTATTCATATCCATCGTGACGTAACATGTTATTTTATTTATTAACAAAAAAATCACATAACATGAAATATACAAATGTCAAGTGCTAGCTATTAACGCTTTTATCTTCTGTTGTAATTTTTTTTTTATAGAATAAGGATGACAAACTAGCACACAGTCCATCTGATTGGAAATGGATGCTGTGGCCCATTAACATGTATCTACGATAACAAATAAAAATGCAGATGCGTTGTCACTTCTGAGGACTAAGATGAAATGCCTCGTTTCCAGTAATAAGGTTTTCCCGTATTTAATCATTAAAATTTTAAATTCAAAACTGACCCACAGCGTTAGTTATATTATTTTTACAGAATATGCTGCACAGATGTTTAAGATTAAAAGCTCCTTGTATAGCTGGCAATATTTTCCGCTTACTACACCCGAAACGAGGATTTTTCTAAGTTTGTCACCACAACAAATATTTATAATATGGAAAAGTTAAGATTAATATTTGTATTACATAGTATATATAACTAAGTGTAATCTTACTTGGAAATAATATAAGATATAAAATTAATTATTTACATTCAAGCATTGTCAAACTCAAACATGTTAATGCATTCATGTGGTTACATATAAATAGTTCTTATGTTGGATATAATAGAGACAAACATGAGCCCTGATCGTTCAGCGTCGGTGTAGCAATATTATAATTTAACTTAAAGAAATTTTAAAAGAAAGTAAATAAAATTAATAATAAATTAAGAGATATTTAAAAGAATCGCCATACTTGATCTTTTTTATATTGATCATTTTATATAAAGGAATGTTCGGAGTCAATTTTGAAGAAAATATTTCTACTATTCATCCATTAAGTCTAAACTCTCGCTCACACTTTAACTGTTGAGCTACCCACACTTACTGGAATATCTCCAGTAGAAGGTACATGAAAGAAAAAAAGCATGAAACCGGTAGCTAGGAGAAAATGAAATGCCAGAATTGAACCTACAACTATAGGGAAATATCTGGACTTCCTTAACGCCGGCAGAAGCCAAAATATGAGCACTGCACCAGAAACAAACGCCGCCATGAGGACGAAAAGCCACTGCAGCCAAGATACTTGGATCGTCCAGAGTATAGCTACCGGGATATAAATTGATAGAGAATATCCATACAGACAAAATAGAGACATCATGGATGGCGTATTTGAAACCTAAAACAATAAACAAAATTTATAATTTTATTTAGGACAATAGCTGAAAATAAACTTCCAATTCGGCTTATCATAAGTGCATAAAGGTGAACGAACGCAAACTAAACCGAGCCGAACGCGTCGGACGGATCGAAGTCAAAGAGGCCTCGTACACATATACGCACTGAAAGAATCGACCGCGCCGAAAAAATCATTTCCATTTACTTTGTACCCGTCGCACTGTAATTAATAATTAATTGTGAATTGTGATTGATCTTGATGAGGTTTTTATTGTCAGTCCTTTACTATTGGAAGATGAAGAAAGTACTTATTTAATTAAATTAGAATCATCCATTTTTTAATGTACTCGCACGCAAGTTGCTCTGTCGCACGCAATTTTGTTCTATGCGTTCGGCTCGGATAGTATTTGTTCACCTCTATACCTTTAAGTGTAAATGAGTGTTCAAACTTTGTCAGAAATACCCATTATTTAATAAATCAATATATTGGGTTGAATGTAAAAGCTAAATTGAAAAGTCATCAATTTTAATCATGGATTGCTGGAGCCTAGGTTAGACAGTATTATTGTATTACACATGTAACAGAGTCTTCACTTGTTAGTAATACTCAAAGTAGAGTAATTGACAAAATAAAAAAATATTTTAACCAAATAGACAATGCTATAAAAACGTGTGTGGGTTGGCTATAGACATCCGGCACTTGATTTTGATAATGTTTTTAGTCTAGGAGGCTTGTTAGGGTTAAGCTTAAACCTATTACACTGTTTTTATATGTCGGAAATGCGTTTTCAATTAATTACGATAAAAACAAATTTCATTAAAAATTGTGTAATAACGAAAAGCAAATATGTCAATTTGTTATCTTATTATGAAGTAGATGTCCGGTACTTGTTTTTTTGTTTTTAATTTAGGAGGATTGTCAGGGTTAAGCTCGAACCATTTACACTGTTTTTGGATTTCGGAAATGCCTTTTGAATTAATTACGATAAAAATAAATTTCACTAAAAATTGTGCAATAATGAAACGTAAATATGTCAATTTGTTTTTTTAACACAGATACTCATAAAAACGTTAATCACTCGGACCCAGAGAATCCATTTGTAGCTGGAGACGGGAGTTATATACAACAAATTGAGTAGCGCAGTGGAGAGCAGTCAGGAGGTTTTTCAAGAAACGAAATTATAACAATTCACATTACATTATTTCATTTATCACTATCATAGCAGAGTTTAGAGCAACCAGACTTTATAGATAAGATTGGTCGAATCGGTTCTAAAACCGAATTAGCACACCCCGACTCCACATAGTCTTGTCTGCCCTACCCCTAGAGTGTTTTTGTAAAGCCGTAGGCCTTTGGCGACCAGCCTCAGCCGCTACGGCTCACTTAGGTGCCTGCGATTTGCTACGCAAGGGCGAAGGGGCTGCACTTCCCGCAGTGCCGAAGCCGTTGCAGAAGTTACTTTGCGTCAATATTCTTGTATAAAAAAGTGAGGTTATGATTTTATAAAAAAAATTATTACTCAAACTATACATTTTCACAACGGGGGGGCTTCCCATGACCCCCTCCCCTCCCTCTCCCAACACCGTACACGAGTACCGGACGTCTAGTTTACCCAAGTGTGTACTTATGTAAGTTCATGTGCTAAAATTTATTATGAAATTTGTCCACAAATTAAATCTCACCTGTGTTTCAATTTCATCCTGACCTTCAGGCACTACGGTCCATTTTAAAGCTGCCCACAATGCTAAGGGCACCAACCATACATAGCCCAAGATTGCCGTGGCTGCATATGATACCAAGTGAAAATCGTACCGCCAATGCACAGCTTTGTTAGCATTTTGTAGGTAGTTTGCAATGTTACCACTTACTGCAATTGTGAAGATCTGAAATACATAGACAGACAAAATTTCTAAAAGTAATTGATTTTGCTTCAGATTTTTTTTTATGGTAAGCTGGTAAGTCACCAGGACTATTGCTGCAGATATAAACGGCAGAGCGGGAAGGGACGCTCTAGACGAAAGTTTATCGCCCAAATTGGCGATATATTAAAAATGGGCCAGATTAGGAGTGACCTTAACCGGCGACCGTGTATGCGTAGGTACATAAATGTAAAGGCGAGAAAGGTGTGTCAGGATTGTGCCAAATGGAAGTCCGTAGTGTCTGTCTACCCCTCTGGGTGACAGGCGTGAGTATTTATGTATGACTATTGGAAAGACCACGGAATATAAAAAACAAGACGTAGCCCAAAGTGGGCGGGGCGGGCCTGTCATAACTACGGACAGTAGAGCGTAATTTACTGTCAGTCGTAGGCTCAAAAAAAATATATATATAAAAATATAAAATATTTTTTATATATAAAAAAAATATTTTGAAAAGAAATGTTTCGAACCAAAGAATTTCCTTTTTTGCATAGAAACGTGACGAAATATGGACAAAATATCAAATTTCCTATATAACAAGTAATATTTAACCTTGTTTCGTTGGTTTAAGGCTTTAAGGAATTATGTGAACTAATTTCAGCCGTACAGTTTCACCATCGCACATCGCGACAAAACTCGATACCATTCATACCATCTGGATGACTGGCGGTCCACCACTGTGCGATTTAAAAGAAGTTTTCTTCCACGCACAACTTCCTTGCGGAATCAACTACCACCAGAAATTTTTACGGAGCAATACGACTTAGGGCCCTTCAAGAAAAGAGCCTACTCCTTTTTAAAATCTGCAATTCCCCTGGCGTTGCAGTTGTTCATGGGCGGCGATAGTAACTTACCATCAGTTTCACTGAGCAAGTTGTCAATCGATTCATCTTTATCAAAAATTAAGGAAAAGAAAAGAGATCTCTATATTATAGTATTAATAATATTATTACTACTCCGTATTATTAACTTACTGTGTTGATATTAATTTGCACCCAAAGAACAGCGTCATTTTTAATGATTATTTTTGTTGTGCTACTGGGGCAAAAATAATGATCATAATATAATGATGATGATGATAGAGCTATACAATAATCGATTTCGACAACAGAGCCACTTACCGAGTCCATGTGAATATAAATCATCTAGGGACCCATTCAAACATACACTAAAAATTTCATCAAAATCGATTGGATGGTTTCAAAATCTATGACGGACATAGGCAGATTATTATTTTTTTGTGTTTTATATACCTAGTTAGATTTTAGCGTCTTATTGCACCAATTATGTAAACCAAATTTGCACCAAATTGGCACAAATTTGGTTTTACGGTTTTCAGATCAACGATTGTCATTGGGCTTAATGTACTGTATGTACATTATGCCTGACTACAATTGATGATCTGAATGGATCTTGCTTTTACTGTGTAATTTATTCTCTTTAAGATTAATTTAACACTAGTTGATGATTATTTTAAAAGTATTATTAGTTGGTTAATTGTTTAAATAATTTATGTTTGGCTATTTTAAGATTGATTTCTTAAACTTACACGAACACTACACATTGTGTAAAACTATATTTACGGATTTTATCGCGTTTAATTAACTACTTTAACTTATTTTCAATTCCCGACGACGACGGGTGCTTTATAGCACCCATGGTCACGGGGGGGGGGGGGGCTGAGATCTTTGACGTCTCAATGTCATAGTTAGCCCGGTTACCTTCAGTTTTTTAATATTGATTTTCGGTCCAATCTACGCAATTAATTGTTTCAATTTTATTGACAAATTTATGTAATTTCTGCTTTTTTATCTAATTTACTTAATAAACATTTACTTCTATGCTGATATGGTACAACCAAAGCTTTATATTAGTCATGTATATATAATTTTTTTATCATTCATTTTTTTTATAGGATAGGGTGACAAACAACCACACAGTCCACCTGATGGTAAGTGGTTGCTGTGGCCCATAGACATCTACATCTATCCTCGATTACAAATCAAAATGCAGATGCATTGTCACATGTGAGGACTAAGATGGAATGCCTCGTTTCCAGTAAAAAGGATCTCCGGTTCTCTGCACTCTACATCCGAAACACAGCAGCATTAAGCTACTATTTTACGCTGGTATTCTGTGAGAGCATGGTCCTTACCCGGTCGAGCCGACCCATTCGTGCTACAACTATACTACTAATATAACTGCAGCATGGCTCTACGACGTATAAATCTCTGGTTTTACCAATCGGAAACGGCTGAACTGATTTTAATCAATTCTTTTTTTATCAATAGACTAATAATAGGTAGATAGGTGGTAAGTCCCATTAAATCTGAAGAAATAATCCTCACTCAAAAGTGAAAATATAAGGTATTAACTTTTTATCTAACTATGTAGACAATATTATAGTAATTGTTACCTTGAGCTTATGATATTGCTTATCCACTTAATATTAGAAAAATTTAAAATTTAATGGAAAAGTAAAACTGGCTTCAAAGCTAAAAGTAATATTATAACTTTTACATAATAGATTTTGAAGTTAAAGTAATTTTAGTCAATGTGTGGTATTTGTGTAAATATAAGAAATCATTATTTTCTAACTTTGTTTAAATGTAAATTTTAAGTTAAAAGTAAGAACAACCATAGTAAAAATAGTAAGCATAAAAACTTGAGTCTAATAAATTATAAAGAATTCAAGTACTCTAAACAATATCATAATAAATATTTCAATTTTTAAGACCTAACATTTAGCAATTGTGTAGCTATAGTGTTATTATATAGTCATGCATTTTTGAAAATTTCACATTAAAAATCAGTTTTCAGAGTTTTACTTTAATTGTTATATGAATCTTAGATATGAAGGTGAGCTAGTAGCGTGACGGGAGACAGGTGTCACAGACCTAAGGGTATTAGTGTTCTGTGGGTGTCACTTCCTACCATTCCCCCTCCCCTATAAAGTGATATAACACTAATATCATAATTTAAGTCAAAGTCCAAAGTCGCCCACGCACACAGAGATTTTGTTCAACAAAGACTCAACTTCAGACATGAGTCTATTACGGCAATGTTACATTGGCTGACGATTACGTTTACGGAATAGGACACTATCATTGAGTTATAGAAATGCGTTCTATTTATTTTCGAATCTTAAGTTCGTTAATCCCCTGATGCCCAAGGAGCCTGGAAAGACTCACGTGACATTGGTCGCGTGCTGGCGTACCAGAACCGCTGGGTTAACATCAGGGACTGGCTGTTACTCAAGGCTGATAAGCAGACGGAAGGGTGGTTCATCGTTGTTTCGGTGCCGGAGGATTATATCCCGACCCTGATGAAGGCCGGACGCCGTCTCGCATGTGTATGCGGGGCGGTATACGTAAAATTCCAGGGTCGTGGAGGTAAATTCTTTGACACTCCACCGAGCAAAGAGGTAGAAAACAAACCGGAAGTTATGGATACCGGAGCCACGGTTACCGGTACAGCGGAATCACTGGAGGCCAAGTCCAGTGAAAAAACGGCCTGCACAACTGAGCCGAAGCCCCCAGTGGAGATCGGGCTCAGCGGCAGCTCACTGAGTGACGAAGAGGACTGCATTTTGCCGACCACTTCCGACTCGGTGGCTGACGATGAGACCCGAGATCTTTTTTTGGGCGGGGACGGGGAGGACGTGATCAATGATGGCGTGCCCTTCGTCCAAAACTAGCCTAGTGCAGGCCAACCTCCACCACAGCGAAACTGCGTCGGCTCAATTAAGCAAGTGGTTGGAGGTTCAAAGGACTGCCATAGCCTTAATCCAGGAGCCGTGGGTTGGGGCTGGTAAAATTAAAGGTAAAAACCTAGGTCATTCCACATCTACACTACTTTTTACACTCAACTTGCACAACCAACAATTTCTGTTCTAGAGACATGTATGCCGTGGCAATACAATACACACAGGAGAGAAGATTAGTCGTCGCCTCGGTCTACATGCCGGAGGAAGACACTCCTCCCCCTCATGACTTCGGCAGGCTGGTGAATTTCTGCGAGAGGACCGGACTAGAGGTTGTGATCGGGACGGACTCCAACGCACATCATCCCCTTTGGGGAATGGAAAAACCAAATGAACGGGGTAAGGTTTTAGTTGAATATTTATTTAGTACTAACCTAACCATTTTAAACATAGGTTCTGAACCTACTTTCATAAACAAACGCTGTCGCACTATAATCGACCTCACACTTGCAACAGAAGGAGCATTCAAACTAATTACGGGATGGCATGCGTCGAAAGAGGCCTCATGCTCAGACCATAGATGGATCTGCTTCGCACTACAGGTCGATATCCCCTCTACACCACCATGGAGAAATCCCCGCAAGACGGATAAAACAAAATACCTAAATAGGCTGACGTCTTCGCTCGCGGGTTTTGAGGGGATAAATATTATAGCAGATCAGTCGCTCCTAGAAGAACAGGTAGCAGCTGTTACTAAGGCCATGATAGATAGCTACCATGAATCATGTCCAGAAATCACTCCACCAAGGCATGCCGAGGTAAAGCAACAGTGGTGGGGTGAAGAACTCGATAGGAAACGTAAGAAGGTAAGAAAAGCCCTAAATAGGGCCATGAATACCTCAATGGATGAAGACTGGCTACTATATAAGAAAGCTAAGTCTGAATACAAAAAATGTATCAGGTATCGACGCTCGACTGGGTGGCGTAAATTCTGTGGCAACACAGAAACCTGCGAATAAGCAAATAGGATAAGGAATATTCTAGCTAAACAGAACACGTCGGGATCCATGTCTCTAAAGAAACCCGACGGTAGCTACTGAACATCGCCGGATGAAGCCCAACGCATCCTAATTGAAACGCACTTCCCAGGTTGCTGCGTAACCCAGGAGGCAAACCGGCATGACGACATACCGACACCAACAGTAGAAGACTGGAATTTAGCACAGAGAGTGGTAACGATGGACAAAATCCATTGGGCCAT